CCCTAATCGCAACGTTAACCCTAACATTAAGCCTGACCTCAACCCTAACCCTAACCCTAAATAGAAACCTAAAGCAATCCCTGAACGCTTCATAAACCCTAAACATAATTCTTAACCTAACTCTAAGCTGAAGCCTGTCCCATATACAGATGCCTTTTCAGATACGTCTTTCCTTGGAAATCCCCGTCAATCGATACCATGTCATAAAATAATTTACGTAATTTTAAGAGAAGACTGCGTCTTTGTCTGAATTCCCATTCGATTTTCTTTAATTTTTCGATTTCTTCCTGGGAAATTTTCTTCAGGTCTCTGAGAAATGTCCACTAGGATATAAGGACGTCGCCTTTGAATTGCCATATTCGCTCGTATTTCTCCCCCTCCCTTTCCGCGTTTCTTCGCTTTCCACAATCTATCATCGGAAAATTCCATCTTTGATTTTTTCGATTTTCAGCCCATGCATTGTGTCCTTCCTAAAACGAAGTGTCCCCCCTAACTAAACTCTCAGATATCTACTTCAGCCATTTTGACGCGCATGCTCTATACCTCCTGCGTTTTGTCTACCCTTAACCCTCCTCAGGATTCCTTCCCGGCCACTGCGACGTTGACCTCTCCCACCACTTTTCAGTCCCGCCCTAGGTCTTCCACCACCTAAAATCCTCCGGCTTTCCTCCTACCATCATGAATAACCTCCCCTCCTTCATATCCCTTCGCGAATTTGTTTTTATCCCTTAAAGATTTTTTGAAATCAAGGGTCCTTTCGATAGGTTTTTTACTAGTTCCTCCATATCTCACATTTTTACTCAAGACTTCCTATTTGTAAAATGTGAGCATTATAGTCAAAAGCTTTATATTCTAAAGGTTAAATCCCTACGGACGTCAACATTGCGACTTCATATATCACTATCTGTAAAATCAACTGTTCGTCTGGCCTCTCACGCAGACACTCACTGTCTGCATTGCCTACATTTTTCTAACTGACTCATCGTTTACATATGCTTGATAGTACCCTCTGGGCGCTCAAGAAGAAAGCTATTATTATTACCAACAATATCACTTATTGCACCCAGTTACGAGAACGTGGAATTGCCAACTACTGAAAATGTTGTGTTTGGAGAAGATTTTATTTTTTTAAAGAAATGATTTGCATGAAGCAGAATTAATCTTTTGGTCTGTGCGAGATCCCAGTAAAAATGCTCTTTGAACTTCCCTGAGAGCTGATCAAGCTATTATCCGGCTTGTGCCACATGTTGTAAGAGAGCACATGCTGCACCCACTTACAAAACAGGTAGTCGTGCACTTGTGATTAACTACGAACCCGTCGGTTTGACAACACCCTGTTGCAAATTCATGGAGAAAACAATCAGAAAGGATTAGATGGGCTTTTGAAAAACCGTAGCCTCTTGCCCAATGTAAGGACGGCTTTCGTAAGGGAAGAAAGCATATGACGAACTTGCTTTATAATATTCAAATCTGGACAAGAGAACTCAACGAATACACGACAGTTCGTCCGTCGGTTTCGACGATGACCACCGTGTGCCCCACAGACTGCATTGTGGGAGCAGGGACGGTGACTTGCGCAGGGGTTTATAGTGCCGGTAGACTTGCGCTGCATCTACCTACACTCTCTCCTCCTCCCCCGCCTGGGCCCGGTGTCAAGACAGAGTCAAGAAGACCGGAGACGAGGGAGGCCGCAGGTGGATGGCTCGGACGGATCCTCACCTTGGCGTTCCACCACACCCCCTGGCCCACACACAAATGACCAGGATTTTGACCACAAAACAATGGGGTGATGACAGTGGTCCAGTTGTGCGACGAATGCCGAAACAGGGTCCGCCAGCGCACCCCGGGAATGTTGGCATTTGTTATTGCGCACAGATAACGCCTGCCAAAGTCCGATGTGGCCCCCGTGTTGGTCCAGCGCATCTAACACGTGGCCCGTTTGGAGGGCAC